GCAGACCAGACTCTGAGGAAAAGTCCATCAGATTTTGCTGAAATCTTTGGATCTCCAGATGAGTCTCCGGAGGTAGGCCACATGCCTTGTTAATTTAAGAGTGACTGTGAATTTTCCAGTAGCCTTTCATATAAATATCTGAATATGCATTCAATCAATTTTAACCCGTGCAGGTATGTGCCTTGCCATGCATTTGCATACAATAGTTTTCTGTTACTTTCTCCAGTTTTGTGGCAGGTCTACATTTTTTTTTAGTTGCTCTTACAAGTTTTTTTTGGTCTTTTTTTTTCTTTCCCCAGTACATTTGATCATAGTTTCATCCTATTTATGGATCGTAGTTCTTGAAACAGAAACTTTGTCGCAGTAGACATGAACGTGGAATCAACAGGTAGAAAATTGTCTGTCTGAGATGAAACGTTTTCTTGAAAAGCAGTGACTACATTTTACCGTTTAAGTATGACTTACTGCACAGTGTCTTTAAATGGAGATGAAAATACGGTTACATGCAATCGATATAACTTAAACATTGACTGTTCTATCAAATGGATATCTTTTTTTAACCTTGGCATCAGATGTCACTTCCCTTGCATATTACCACATCCCTTTCAACTAAACATCTCTAACTGCAGTCTATGCATTGTGGTGATTATTTGCTGTTAGACGTGGCATTTGTTTGTTCTTCTCATTGCATCAGAGATTGAAGTGAAAGTAGTGAAAGCTTGCATTTTACTAAGTCGTATTTTTTCCAACTACACGTTGACTGACCGAGTGCTTAAGCCACGACCTGTTCATCGGGTCATTGTAACACAGTCAAAGAGCTTTTTGTCAAGATGATATTGGTCATGATAGAGGGAGGAAATAAAATACTTTCCTGTTCTCAAATGAATCACTGTGAGAATAAGTTAGAGTATTTTATATCCATCTTGGTGATTTTTTTTTAAAATTTTGTTTTTGCCATTATGAGTTTGTAAATGCTGTAATGTATGTCAGACTAGAATACTTTTTTAGTATTTGGAAAGCAGTCCAGCCTATTGTGACTTTAGAAAAGAAAATATTAAATGAGGGAACTCTGTGGTTCATCTCCTCGCCTTTTGAAAAGCTCTCCATGGTGCTGAATGGTGCCTTCCTTATTTGCGCCATTCACGAAAACCCAACACATCAAATTAAAATAATTTCGCTTTCGAATGAAGACTGAAATAACATCTCATTGCCGGTCATAGCAGAAACAGTGGCATCTTATACTGAACTTAATTTTTTGGTTTGTTTGATTATTTGTAATATTCCAAGTAAGCTCACGGCGTCGCTGCTCGCTCACAGATATGGAGAGGTTAATCTCTCCACCCACTGCAAAAGCAGTAGCTGCATCAAACCTTGGGCTGCCATTGTTGTAGGAACGGTGTGCTTAATATCACTCTTACGCTATACATTTTTTTAACTGGAATAATATTTGTGTCTGTTTCTTTTTTTTGTCGGAAGGAATAATGGCGCTCAGAGAACACAGGTTGCTGAGTTTTGTCTGTGGCGTTGTCCTTTTTGTTCACATTACTGGAGCAGACCTGAGCTATTCTGTTCCGGAGGAGATGAGACCAGGCTCCATTGTTGGAAATATTGCCAAGGATCTCGGCCTGGAAGTCGGGAAATTGTTCGCTCGTAAAGCTCGCGTTGATACTGAGGAAAACCACCAGCATTACTGCAATGTTGATCTACAAACGGGGAATTTTGTCATCAGGGAAAGAATTGACCGAGAGGAGCTTTGTGGGGAGAAGGTTTCGTGCATGCTAAAATTTGAATTAGTCCTAGAGAGCCCGTTGGAGCTGCACCGCATTTCACTGCTCATCCAGGATGTTAACGACAATCCGCCCGTTTTTCCAAAGGATGCAGTGAAGTTGGAAATAAGAGAATCGGCGGTTAAAGGAGCTCGATATCGTGTCAACGAAGCACACGACGCTGACATCGGACAAAATACTGTTAAAGAATACAGTTTACAAAAGAATGGACATTTTGTTTTATCTGTTCATGATGATGCTGATGGATCGAAGACCGTGGAGCTGGTGTTGGACAAAGAGTTGGACCGTGAAAAGGAGCACGATTTAAATTTTCTGCTGATTGCAGTTGATGGTGGGAATCCACAGAGATCAGGAACTGCTATGATACATGTGACTGTGCTGGATGCTAATGATAACGCTCCTGTGTTTGATCAGGCCGTTTACAAAGCCAGTTTACCTGAGAATTCTCCTGCTGATACTGTCGTTGTAACTGTAAGTGCCACTGATGC